TCTGACAGTCTCTTGAACATCTCAATGCGCAGTGCGCGCAATTTTCAGTTGCGTGTCTCTCGCGCCGTTCACCCCTCGGTCGTGTGGAACAAGGCTCGACGAACAGCAGAAGAAAGAAGAAATTTGCTTCGATGGCGTTTTTTCTCTTCACTTCAGCCTGTTTTTTTCACTCCAATCTTGCTTATATTTTTCTTGCAGGCACATTTTCACATTCTTTGCCACTTTTTTCTGCCTTTCTCGCCATGGTCCTTCGCCTCTCGAGATATTTGGGTCAGAGTGTGAGCTCTCGCCCGTCTCGGTCGTTCATCATTAGTGCAAAAGTGGATGAATTTGAGCGTCCATTGCTCAGATGTTCCGGCAATTTTCACACTTTTCCCGGTGTGGCCAGAAAAAGAGCTCGTCGTGATCATTACACAACAATAATGAGTGCTTAAGAGTACCACTCACCCGGTAATTTATGACTTTTTTCCGCTGTCGAAAGCGGAAATGCCACGACCAATTTATTCATCGTGAGCGCCCAAAAAGATTCCGCTCGGTCTGGGCTTTGGGACGATAAAAATAATGTATAATGGGTGCAAAAATTCGTGCATGTCCCCATGGTTTGAAAAAGACACCCCATTAAGGCCAAGTTTTCATATCTCGCCCGCCGGAAAATCACGTTTATGAAGTGTGTATCCCCGACCTAGTAAATTACGCCCGGGCCACACGTAGTGAGACTCAATTGAAGGGAGTTAGGAAGCGTTTTAGTGAAATCCCACTTCATGTTTATGTCTCTCCCATGCGTGGCGCTTTAGTTTTCACTCCTTTTTTCCGCCCCTCCAAGGGGGCCCATTGAGAGCTCCCAGGCAATTTATTCAGGGGTGGCTCCCATCCTTCAGAAGTGGGTCGCAGGGCTCATTTTAAATTCCGAAAAGCCCTCCGCTGTGACTGACGGCAGCTTTTCGCCCGAGCTTACGCATTCACTGAACGCACTCAATCGTGCGCAATCGAAATTGCCCCCTAATTGGATGCCTGAGACAGTGATGGAGGCCCCCTGACAGGCGTGCGTCACGGGTCAATAAACTCGTTACTGCTTCTATTAGATGGTCTATTTTTTGAGGGTGGCTCTTGCGAATAGTGGGAAGAAAAGCGCGTTTTCAGGTCAGTTCCTGAGCACTGGATGCTGCATGTTAATTTTCTCAATCAACTTCCCTTCACTACACATCTTTAAAGTCTTGCCTTCCCCTCGTGAATATTCTGGTTTGCTCAATATCAAAATGAAGTGCTTAATTGAAGGTGAGTTTTCAGGACAAACATACGAGATAAAGTATCGATCGATTGAGTAAATTTGATGGCTTCTCGGAAAGTTGTACGTTTTTCATCTCCCCCTTTTCTCAGTGGTTCCACCGAATATTTTTCGTCGTTTATTAAATTTTCTCTTCTTCTTCTCCTCAAGTTCTCTCTGTGTGTAAAATAATTCCGAGGGTGAAATTTTCCCATCGTGCGTTTGCCGAAAGGAAGAAAGAATGAAAAACGCATGAAGAATTTTTCTCTCTATACCGAAAAGGAGGTCTTTTTTTTTCTTTCGAAGGGAAGGAAAAAGTTGCCAGTTTTCGATGGAGGCCGTAAAAAAAATTTAAATCTTCCTTTTGATGATTTCTCGCCGGAGGCTGCGAGATGAAATTGATTCAAGAGAGAGAACCTTTCCATCGTAATTATACAGTGACGAAATAAAATGAATGACCTCTGCTGAGGTGAACGACAGATATCCAACCCTCCGGATCGGCAGATTTGCGCCACCCTCTGCATGTCTTGTTTGTGTATCTGAGGGTTGGCAAAACCATGGAAAAAAGGAGAACGGAGCCCGCTCCTATCTCTGTATTTGACTTTAATTTAGCAACCCTTCAGCCCCTCTCACACCGCCACCCTCGCAAGCGCGTCTCCTTTTTCAACCCGAATATATAGCACATTGTGAATGCCGTAGTATTTACATCTCTCAGAGTACATAAATAGACGCACCCAATATCACATAGTGAATTCCTGTCGCCTGCTTTCCATCTGACAGAAACTCACCCTCCGGTGGGAGATGGTAAAAATCTATATACATATATGTATGTTTGGTATTCTGCTGAACAAGATGATGGGGTCGCGAATTAAATCCGTATTTCAATACTTTATCAAAGTTTCTTCAACTTTTCTTGGGTGACGACGACATACCGAGGGCGGAATGGCGATATTGGTGGAGAAAAATTCAATTTTGGGAGAGATTGAAAAGGAATCAAAAATAAAATTTCCATGTCTTTATGCCCGTGTTTTCCCACCATTCCCGATTCCAGGCCACAAGAAAGCGCCCGTGTCCTCATTTTCAGCCATGACTGTGCCTCAGGAGGCAAAAATCACGCAATAGGGGGTGGAAAAGTGGCAAAATGGTGTGCAAAATCACTATAGGAGAGTGCGGGGCCACTATGAGCTAGTCCTGATGCAGGAATTATGAGCAAAAGGTGACTAGCTAGCTCAATGGTTAGCTATCATGTTTGTGACAATATCTCAGCAAGTTTTTCCTTATGAACAGGTTGGACTATCGATAGCATGAATAAGTATACCGGATTACTAAAGAAAGAGTTCTAAGCGATAATTTATCAATTTAAAATTCGACACTGCAACTCTGAAACTCTCCAATTTCAACACTTATCCACCCCCTGAGCGATATATCTTCGGCGCGTGAGAAGAGAACAAGGCATAAAGGAAGGATCCCAACAGTTTCACAGTCGGAATGGGTGGATTTAAATAAGAAATGACAGAGAAATTTAGCAGGAAATCAAATGAAGTGAACTTTTTGGGAAACACTGATTACACACATTTTCATGTAAATTTATCTCACAGCGACGATGGCCTAATTCGCCACCCCTCAATATTAATGTAGATGAAGATTGAGAGGCGCAAGTGAAATTATTCTGGGTCTCCAGTTCTTCCTCACCCTCTTGGAAGCCCATTTGATGCCGAATTCGGCATTTAGGACTCTCTGTGTAGGAGGGATTAGAGGATGAATGCCTTTCCCTGTGATATTTCAAATTGTGCGCCATGTAAAAAATCACCCATCGTGCAAGACATGAAAATTGATTTAGCACACCAACATTTTCATGTTTAATTTCAAGCGGAGAAAATTATTTTGGCATCTCAAGGCGAGTTAATTAAATAAAACTTTTCCACCCCTTCCCATCACATACACACACCCGAAATTTAATAGCACCCTTCACTTCTCCTGTCAATTTCACTAGCCCTCCTCCGCCATGTGACAAATGCCTGGAATTTCATCCAACTTTCCGGGAAAATTTCAATTTAATTTCCACGAGTGAGATACTAATTCAATAGAGAAACATTTTGTTTGATGAGAGCGAAACCTTTCAAATGGGCATGTCTAGGGAATATAGGTTTTCTTACTATTCCATGCGCTCTTTGAATTATCTACATAGAAATCGAGCAACATTAGAAGCCTCAATTTCTCTCAAAATCACGTTCCTTTTTCCATTCTCCTCAATAATGAGCGTGAATTTTGATCCTCGCTCGAAGATGCCTTCACCTTACAAAGCTCTTCTCGTTTTGCGCCGAGGGAAGATTAGAGGGAAAATACCTGGGAAATTGTGGGTTCTCCGAAAGGCGCGCAGGTACGATATAATGGAAATTGGGCGGGAGATTTTTAGGCCACACACGTGTCTCAACGCTGAGAGGGCTGTTTTGGGGAGTGGTGATAAATTCGTCTCAGAACAGCCTCAATGGCAGCTCTGAGGGAGGTCAGAGGTCAGGTGGAATCGCTGTGGGGGTGCGTAATTAAAAAGTCTCGTGCTAAAATGTCCACAAATTAAAATGTTCCCCCGCACGAGATGCATGGATAACGAAAGGGATGGGATTGAGAGCTTAAAAACTACCCCAGAGCTCCAGTATTTCACCAACCTTTATGACCCCACTGAGAGATGTATGGCGCGAGTTGTGGGGTGAGGGTGGAAATCCCTATTCCTTCCAGAGAGAAAAACTTTCACCCAAACCCACGCATCTTCACTTTAAGGGCGCTGCGAAGAAACGACCAGGTGACACGTATTTTGGACATTTCTCAGTGGAAAATTAAAAGTTTCTACCCGCCACCCTGAAAAGCTCATTTACGTGGAAGCTCCGGCGAGGTACATATCTTCAAGTTTGCCGGTGACATCGGTGAAATGAGAAAGAATATAATGCAATAAGTTTCACCTTCACACACGAGACGCCGTGGCCTTTTTGCCGCTCTGGCTCAAGTCAAGATCACATCTCAGAGAGGGTGTCAAGGGGTGAAAAAAGAAGCGCGATGGGAGCGAATGGGGAGGAATGTGGATGGGAGAGGTCGTGTTACTTCGCGTGGGTTTGTACAGATTGTCGAAAAGTTGACAAAAATACCCAAGAAGCAAGAAAAGTATATCAAATGTCTTAAACATTACTTCGATGTTCACAACTTTACAAAAACAACACACCTAAGATTGTTGAGATTGAATGAATAAACACATACACAGGTTATATATGTTTCGAAATTTTGAATTTAGTCAATATCTAGGGTTCCGAAGCCTCCCAAAAACTATCCCACTTATGAATGTATAGCAATTCCGTTGCGAATACGACCTCGGAATGACATTGTCACGACGTTAGGGGTATTTCTCGCCGTCTATCGTACTCCTTCTTGGAATTCTCCCTGTGTTCCTCGACTGGAGCAATAAAATGTGGTACAATCCACCCAGAGTTGCCGCCTCGTTGCTGGCGAACGTGAGTCTTGCGCCACCCCCACGGAGAATCCACCTCGTTTTTGTTTCATAAAGTGCGTAATATTTTTTGTAGCAAATTACCCGGAAAGACGGTAAATTTGATACTTTATTTTGTGTTCCGCCAAAAGAGCGCGCGCGGGCAAAAAATCGGGTGGGTGGGTTGATGTTGGAAGGAAAATTAAGAGCATTACTGTGTTGAATGCAGGAGGTGAAAAGGAAATAAATTGTCTTACTTACCACCGCGGTTTTCACTATCCGCTGGTTTAACTTGAATGGGACGGTTCATCTGCAAAGAGGGAAATGCGTATTAGTTATTTATGTACGAGCTGACTAATGTCGGATAAAATAGGGACAGTGATGGTTTTCAGTGTGGTGAGACCGATGACCTCAGGTAGGTCATCTTGTCTCTCTCCCTCCGTAATGAAATCACCACGAAATCGAATATTCTGTCCGCCGTTAATTCATTTTCATGGCAGCTCCCCCGAAAATATTGGGGATTTTTCCACTCAATGCCCATCCATTTGCCGATGGAGCCGATGTGGGGATTGAAAGGGACCGGCAAAAAATCTGATAACACGCTATAATGTCATCCAGCTGAGTGATGTGTTGTTTAGTGGTCAGAACCCGGTCCCCGACCACCTTCTGGCCAGGTATTTGTGATCACGCGCCTTTCCAGATATTGTGACCATGTCACCGGTTATGGCCATTACCGTGTCACTTTGTCCAGCAATTTGAAACCACTAATATCTCAGCCACCCCCGACCATCACACCCTCGGCCACAGGGTGACGAAAGGGAGGCCCTCCGGGTGTCCACTTTAAGGACTCGCTCCTCGGAGCGGAAATTAAAGTTATGGACGATGTGAGTTAAATTTGATTTTATACTGACACGTTTTCCCTCTTCACACCCCCAAATGTGAGGGAGAATTACGCAGTATTTTGGTGATGATGCTGCGGAATTGCGCCACCACAAAATCCCTACCGAAGTGTTGAGGAAAGACTTGATTCATTCGTATAGTTTGCATGTCCCTGTCTCCATTGTGTCTATTCATTTGAAGATTTTGCTTTTATTTGTCCTCTGTGCTGGTCGTGCTGCTTTTTACTGCGCTTCTGCTATGTTTTGCTTGGCGATGCGGTTCAATAATAATTGTCAAGCAATCTAATATTACATTTCTGCCGCCAATTGCTCTTTGTTGTTAATTCTGACGCATAAATAGAAAATATATCTGAGCTAGTAAAATTTATGCACTCACAGGCAAGTGTGCTCATGAGAAATGCGGATGTAATGCATGAATGCAATCAACTTCTCCGCCAAATGAATTGCACAGTAGCAGTGACTGCTGTAAGGGGTGGCATAATAAAAAATACATGGAATCAAATCATGCAACACTTGTTGAAATTTTCCATCAGTCAGTCAAGTCATTTATCAAAGTGGCGCATGTGGAAAAATCAATTTATTGATAACGGAAGAACGCCACACTTAATTACAGTAAATTGCAGGCAATATACATTTTTGGGGCCTGGCTTTTCAGGGGGTGGCAAATGGGTTTCTCCTCTTGTCGGAGGTAAAATGAGTTGTCGCTCGGCCAACCCTCGAAAAAAGAGGGAAATTCTCATGCATATTTTATGTGTCCGCGTGGACGATGATGGCACCAAATGGGTTTATAGTGGGGTGTTTTTCCCGGGGAAAATGATTTTGATGAAACCATTTTACAAATGCAACCGCCACACATGGGATTTATTTGCTCACACTCCGGCTGACGCACCACGCATTTCCAAATGGATTCCATTTAAATGCTGCGTCTCAACAGATGAGATTAATTTGTACTCGGTACCCTAATACCTGAGATGTTTCTGCACATCAATTGCCACAGTCTGTCGAGCGCGGGAACATTTGAAAAGACAAAAAGGCCAAATTTCGGCCGAATGACTTTCATTTGTGCGTGAGATGAAAAGGATGCTCCAGGTGAGCACGAGGACGAGATAATTGAATGCGAGAGTGGAGCGATGAAATGAGGGGGTGTCCTGGGAATCCCATTGAGAGACTTTTGTATTATTAAAGGGAACTAATTACCTAAATGGAGTTGAACCACGGAAACTATAATTACAGTGCTGCTTGCTATTGATATTTATAGCTCAATTCGGGCGAATGTGGAGCATATTGGGCCTATCATCGCCATGAAATGTGTGACTCACTGGTAATATTTAATGTGAAACTGTTTCCCTTGCAGAGTTAAGGACGCGCCGACAGATTTTCATCAACGGGCACTCTTGACTGGTCCTCTCGTGATAAGAATAAATTAGAGGATAGAGAGAGACTTTGGCCGAGTGATGATAAAAAAGGGAGTCAATTTGAATAGTCGATAAGGGAATGGATGTTTTTTGGACAATGAACTCTCCTCTCCACTCCTTTACCATCTATTGATATTTCCCGAAGCGACCGAATCGATCCTCAAGAGGATGGGTTTTTGTCCCTCCTGCAAACCACTCTGTCTTCACATATGCCAACAACAAATTGTGCACTCTCTCTTCTTTGGCAAAAAAGAACCTCATCCTCCTTCCCCCATGGGATTTAAGCGAAACAGACACTCGAGTCAAATCAAAATGTGAATAAAAGTGACTATAAATTTTGATCACTGGCAGAAGCATCATATCCAACAGATTGAAAAATCCCTTTTGTCCCTACAAAAGAAGCCACCACCACTTGTACCATACCGAGGAGAGTGAATTGCAAACAGAATCGACAATTCTGGTGCGGGGTGGTGGGAACAAAAAGAAGCCAAAGACTCACCATGGATACGTTGAACGCGCCACACAAAATTCCACACCACCCAAAGTCCATCTGAATCCCTCCAACACAGAGAGCCACCAATTCAACCCCCATCGACTTCTTTTCCACGGAAAATGCTCGTCAAGAGGTTCGACCACGAGGGGCGACTCACTAATGCAATTGCCGTGACGAAATAGATTGATTGCCATGAATTATTCACTTCTCAAACCTAGACATTCTCAAATCAATTTTTCTACCGATCGTATCGATTGCTTCCCAGTCTGTTCTTCAGTTTTTGCGCCATTCTGACTCATGCAAATATGTGACATTTTTGAAATTTCAGTTGCACGTCGATTTATAATTGATACGAATCGTGAAAAATGTCATGAGCCGCCCCTTTGTCCTTTCCACTTTAACATCTTCAGCAGCGGAGAGTCTGGTGAATACAATGCGATGCACTTAGTAAATCCTTTGGGTATAATATTCCTGTCTTCGGGGCTGTATTTGAGTCTTTTGCTGAAGATGCTTCTGAGGCGCGCCTGGTGAAAAAGTATGACGAAAGGATCTCTGAATGCGACACGAGTGGATCGACGGGAAAAAAGGGCGCTTCAAGTGAAAGCACAAAAAGCTTATACGCCATTCTGACCGACCACTATCCATTTCCAAAGAGGGTGGCTCGTAAAACCGACAAGTCTTTCTCTCACTCTCCTGAACGGAGATGGGGAATCCATCGCAGAAAAAAGCGTGGAGACGCTTTATATGAGTTACGTGAACTAACATAGCAATTTTCCGGAGGGTGAGAGAGGCGAGCTTTTATGTGAAATTATTATATGCCGAAAGACAAATGGGGAACAATAATTCAGCCGATTATCGCATGGTGCAGAGCACAATAAAGTTCCATGGGCGAAAAAGGGTCCAATAAAAAATTTAATTGAAAAGCGATCGTGATAAATGCTGAGAATGCTTCAATGGGAAACACACCCTCACTGCAAAACCACCAATTTCGTGCCAACACTGAAGATTATTTTTAATCCATTCGCCATCTCTCGTTCTGGTGGGGCGTTTCTGGGGGAGAAATTGCGAATAATTGTAATGGAAAGGGAAAATTATCATGTTGAGAAAGTTTACCAACATAATTTTCGATTTGATATTTAGAAGAGAGTGTTGCCTAATGAAAGAAAATCAATTTCTGTAAAACCCATACTCTGATAGAGAGAGAGGGGGAGAAAGAGAGAGTGAGGGAGGGAGTTTTGTCCCAGTGTAGCACTCTTTTATTATCTCCTGTTTACCTCCTGTACTGAGCAGTTTTTCACTTGAAGCACTTCCCAAAGGCATTGATTGTGCACACGGGAGTGGATGTTTGAGGGAAAAATGGGGGTTTGTCTCTATGTACATTATAAACAGACAGGTCAACAATGAAATTCAATTTGTGTAAGTGAATATCTATTGTGGAGTTCCGCCGCTCAAACTAAAGCATTCCATATAATGCGCCTTTTCCTCATCCTGGTAAGTGTGAGACGCCCTGGATAAATAAAGGATGAACTATATTCAATACACTCCATCTCCGCTTCGTGTGAATCATTGCAGAGGGAGAGATTCCGCAAGGGCGGGGGTGGATTATTAAAATTTTATCAAAATAAATGAGACATTGGCGAATGTGATTGAAATCAAATTAATGCATTAAAATTGGGCAAAATACACAAGGCAAAATCATAAAATTATAACGAAAATACATTTACACAAATTTAACCTGCGGGAGTGGGAGGAGCTGCCAAATGACCACATTAGTCTGACCATTTGTGTTTTTCCGCCATGCAATGTTATGTATGTCACTGGCATGGGTACTAAAATCAATTATTATAGGTGAACACACTACAACATTTTCAATTAGAGTAATTTGATAATTTCCACCGAAAACTGATTGAGACCCGAACGATGTCTGCGTTTCACCCACACTTTACGAATTAATTTTCCACCCTTGCGCCATTTCGAGTGTTGCAAATGAGCCCGGGAAATAATGCAATATCATTTTGTATTAAATTTTAAATGGTGCAGAAAATTCCTTTTTCACCAATTTCATCTATTGAATAATTTGTAACTAACGAACAACAGATTCTCAGGTGGACTTTAAATTAAAATTATAGAAAATGCTTAAAGATTTCTACCAAATCTGTCGCTACGATTTTTCCATTCAGGGAAAATGATTTTTCAAATTGGCGGGAGAAAAACATAGTATAATTTCTTAGAATACATTTCAAGTCAAGGTACTGAGGCTTAATAACGAGACGTTTCGTGATCTATTAAATTATTTTCTACTGTAGATATCATCAAACTTTAGGACTTGACGGTCCAAGGAAAATTATAATAAATGTCTTGTAAGCCCTTTTCTAGTCAGGCAAGGGGAAAGTGCCTTAGAAGTTGGAAATGAAAGCTGTCTCCCCAGTGAATCTTCCAATCTACTCTCATTGGCCATGTGGGCAAGAGAAATGGTCCATCGAGTTGGGGGGCGATACATCTC